CTTTCCCTTACTTCCTGCTTAGTTCTCATACTGTGAAATGCTGTCATCACTCCCTCATTTATAATATTCATCACACTTTTTATAGCTTGTTTCATTTTCTGACTCTCGTGTAAGGGGAGGCCTCTCTTTTAAAAAATTATTTATTATTTAATTTTATTTATTATTATTATTTTAAAATTTTGCTATAGGGCATGTGTGATCACCAGAGAGAGACAGAAAGAGAGAAAGAGAGAGGGAAAATGAGAAAGCGAGTCGCCAGGTCCAGGACTCGAACCGCAGTAGGCATGTGGAAGACCTTAATCACCACACCATTTGCTGGCCCTACAGTGGGGCCTCTCTGTCTCTTACTGCTATATAACCAGTGCTTCGCTCCTAGTAGATGCTCGGTAAACCTTTTTTCACTTTTATTATGAAAATTTAAAGCCAGCGCAAAACCAGAAATGACTAAGTTAAGGAGCCATTGTTCTCTTTGTCGACACTACCCAGATGTTCTTGTCTCATCTCACTAATTGTATTACTTTCTTGGCAAACTCAGCATGCGAATGCACTTTAATTCATTTTCCAGCAAATATGCAAATGTGGCTCATGGCCGCCTTCTGGGTATGATTACATTCCAGTAGGGGATCCATAGACACGGAATACAAAAGGAGAATGGCAGAAGAGAAAGTCGTGGAAGGCAGTAGGAGTAAGGTTTAGTCCTACTCGAGAAGAGGCATTTATCCTCTCTGAAGTAAATCAAGGAAGGTCTCCTAGAAAATACGGTTTATAAGCTGAGGCCGGCAGGCAACCAGTGGGCATTGGTTACCTGTAGAAGCTGGCAGGGGTGGGGGGTAGCCAAGGCAAAGGGACATATAGCCAAAGAAACTTGAGGGGCTGGTGGCGTGGTGGGTAAGGCAGCTGGACATGGCTGACTGCGCAGTTCAAGTCCTGGACCCAGTGACTTGAAAATGTATTGGGTTTGGGGCCAGCAGTTGGCGTGATGGCTATGTTGCTGGACTCCCATGTAGTTGACTGCAGTTCAAGCCCTGGACCCGGTGGCTTAAACTCACGCTGGGCGTGTGTGTGAGCGTGCCCAAGATCCCAAGAGGAGAATGGAGGGGAAGGGATTGTGGCATAGCCATCCCTCCTGGGGGGTGATTTCTTGCTTTCTTTCTGTCTGTCCTGTCTTTTTTTTTTTTTTAATTATTTATTTCTTCTTCTTTTTTCTGTCTTTCTTTCTTTAAATTTGACCAGAGAAAGAGAGGGAAAGTGAAAAAGCAAATTGCTAGGTCTGGGACTCGAATTGCGGTTGGCCACATGTGAGTCCCGCACCTCAACCCCACACCACCTGGTGGCCCTTTGAACAATACTTTATAGTATTCAAAATATAAATTTTACAGTTCTGTTTATTCTCTTTGATGCTATTAGATCTTTTTTTTCTTTTGCTTTTGCTGTAGTGTGCATATGCTCACCAAAGAGAGACACAGAGAGTAAGAGGAAAGGGGGGAGTGAGAACTCATATCTCAGGGGAGATGGTCATGCTACAATCCCTTCTCCTCCCTTCTCCTCATTCAGCTCCTGGTGTGAATCTCAGGCAGCCAGGTCCAGGACACAAACCACAGTTGGCCACGTGGAATCCAGCTACAGTCTCCACACCACTTGCTGGCCCTGGGATTGTTTTCTTAAATTCATGTTGGTTTGGTTATTATTGTTCTACGAAATATAACTGATTTTTGCATGTTAGTCCTATATCCTGCCACCTTGCTGAGCTTAGTACTAAGTTTTTGTTTTTAGCAAATTCCTTATGATTTCTTGTGTACAAGAGCGTATCATCTGCAAATATAGTTTCACTTCTTCCTTTTAAGCACGGCTGCCCTGTACTTCTTTTTCTTGCTTCATTGTCCCGTCTAGATCCTCCAATAGGATGTTGACCAGCGGTGACCCCTGTCTCGCTCCTGATCTCAGGAAGAAAACATTTGGCCTTCACCAGCACGCATGTTAATCATGTGTGTTTCCACAGATGCCCTTTATCATGTTGAAAAGTTTCCTTGTATTTCTAACTTGAGTGTTTCATCATGAGAGAGTGCTGAATTTTGTTCAAGGCTTCTGGGCATCTGTGAGGTGATCACGTGGGTCTCCCCACTATCCTAGCGGTACGCTCTAGCTTTGCGTTCATTGCTTTTTGGACGCTAAACCAACTTAATTCCTCTTGTTATCTCACTAATTTTGGTCTCTTTCTTTCGTGCTGTTTGATTTCTCAAAGGTCTTGAAGTTCCTGGTGTTCTTGGTGGCCAGCCCCATTCGTGTGTAAATAACTGTGGTGTTTACAAAAGGTAGGGGCTAGACGGCCTTTGAAATCAGGTGCATTTATCTGCTCCGAAGTACAGACCTACAGGTTTCCTGTAGGGCGCATGCGCTCACCGGAGAGACCGAGAGAGAGAATGAGAAGGAAAGTGAGAAATCACCCTGGGAAATGGCCATGCCATAATCCCGCCTCCTCCCTCACCTGGGATTTGGGGCACTCACACGCATGTGCCCGGCCTAAGTTTCAAGTTGCCAGGTCCAAGACTTGAACCATGGTTGGCCATGTGGGAGCCCATCACCTTAACCACCATGCCACCTGCTGGCCCCTGTAGGGAGTGATTTTTGGTCTGAGGAAGTGAGCAAAGTCTAGCCATTGCTGGTGTGTGAGTGAGGAGCAGGTGGCTGCCGTGGGACAAGGCACCTGCTGTAGGAAGGCGGACAGGACTCCAGGGGTAAGTAGTCAGGGTGGAATCGGCCTCATCTTCCCTCCTGTTCTGCCTCCCTCCCTGCCCCAGTGTCCTAAATGGAAGTGCCCCTCAGCCAAGTCTTCACAGTCAGAGTGATTCTCAGGGCTCCTCTGGGGCGAGTGCTGCTCTGTCCCCGAGGGCCTGGAAACCGGCCTCCCGGTGACTGACAGCTGCTCTGAGGGTGGCTGCTGTTTGCACCCTCTGCCTCAGTTCACAGCCAGTTGAGGGCAGGAGTAGGCGATGTGCGTGCCAGGGTGCCATACTGACCAGGAGCCTGAAACACACATTCCTGGCATGATGAAATCATTTTCTCTCTCCCACCTTAGGTCAGCAAGGAAAGAGGATGAGACAGGCCAGTCAGTGGGGTGGTAGTGAGGCAGCTGGATTCCACACAGATGACTGCACAGTTCGAGTCCCGGACCTGGTAACTTGAAAACACAGACATGTGTGCCCTAAATCCTGAGAGAAGAACGGAGGAGAAGGGCATGCAGAGTGGGCAGCCCCCGAGGTGTGATTTCTCATTTTCTCTCTCTGACAAGCACACACCCCCAAGAGCAAATAAAAACAAAAGAAAGAATGAAAAGAAAGAGGATGAGACTAGAGATGGCTAGATCTGAGTTCTAGCCCTGTGCTGGCAGCGAACCAGCCTGCCCCAGCCCCTACAGGCCCCGCCTTCCTCACACTGTCAGCCAGGTGGAGCTCTATCAGCCCACGCGCGGTCCTCATATTGCCAGCCCACAGCAAAACGAGGCAAATGACAGGTCCCAAGTTTTTCAGAAAGCTAAATTAAAGGATTATCCTTGGTGAGGACAGCAGGTGGTGTGGTGGTTAAGGCACTGGACTCCCACATGGTTGCCAGGGGTTCAAGTCTCAGATCCAGAGGCTTGGAACTTATGCTGGGCACATGTGTGTGCTTACACTGGCACATGTGTGTGCTTCCCCAAAATCCCGAGAGGAGAATGGAAAAGAAGGGATTGTGACGTGCCCACCCCCCCCGGTGGGCAGTTTCTCACTTTCTGTCTCTCTGTCTATCTGGCGAGCACATGTGCCCTATAGCAAAAACCTCTCAAAAAAAAAAAAAAAACCAACTTTCGTCATGGGACTGTTGTGGAGGAGAAATGAGATGCACATGACGTCCTTGTTGTTAAGTTTATTTATTTGATGAGAGAGACAGCACCCCCAACAGGGTCTCCACACGGCAATCCCCCTCCAGCCTTCTGCCAGCCCTGGGTCAAGGGCAGTGCCTGCCTGCTGTACTCAGGGAGGTCCCTGGATTTGAACCACAAACCTGCCCATGCCGTGCTGCCATCTGGCCCCGAGGTCTTACACCATGTTACATGTCAGTACTTAGAAACTGCGTGACTGTGTATATGTGACCGTGTCTGTGTGTCTAACACATGTCCAGGTGGTCGACAACCCCTGCGTTTGTAAGCTGGACACCCAGGGTGCGGAGAGACGTGTGCACGTAACTACTTAGTGAAGAGCGCTCACAGGGCTCACTAGAGAGAAACCACTGCTGCAATATACTTCAATGTCGGATGGACACTGATTTGATTCTCCTAACAACCCGTAAGTAGGTATTATTATTTCTGTTTCATAGATGAGGCCAGAGAGGTCAGTCACTTGCCCACTGCCACACAGCTGGTAAGCGGTGGAGCCAGGAATGGGCCCACACAGTGTAGTGACAGTCTGTGCTTTCAACCCCTGCAGGGGGAAGCAAGTGCTCAATCTAGCCTCAGCTGCAACCTGTGGGCACTCCTGGATCTGCAGTTACTACAGCAGCCAGTAGCTCCGTGGGGATGTTAAACATATAATGAAATGAAAAAAAAAAAAAAAACAAAAAACAGTCCTTTGGTCACATTGGTCATATTTACAGTGCTCAGAGGCCAGCTGGCGGTGTGGTGGTGGTGAAGGTGGCTGGACCCCACATGTCACGGTTCGAGTCTTGGACCTGGTGTTTTGAACATGCCTGGCGCAGGTACATGTGTGCTCAAGTCCCACGAGGAGAATGGAGAAGGGATTGGGGCATGGCCGTCCCCACCGCGGGCGATTTCTCTTCCCCCCTCCTCGGTCTCTCTCCAGTGCATACCCTGTGGCAAATCGGTCAGTCGCTGGCAGCCACAGGTGGGAATCGGCCCTGTCCAGCACAGCACAGACACAGGACATCCCACCCTCAAGGCGCGTGCTAAAAGAATTGTTCTAGAGAGTTCTAGAACGTATTCACCCAACAAAGGACGCAAACACAATGGGTACTGCATGGATTTGTTTTAATTAAATGCCACTTCATCGTGTTACTCGCATCTAGGACACACAGTTTTTGAAAAATAAGACATGCCATATTAGTCACGAGGTTAACAAAATATAAGCATCCACACAAAATATACTCTAGGTGCCTTCATTTATTCACTTCTCAGAGCTACACGTCGGTTTCTCGCGTGTCAGCCAGTGTTGGGCCAGACTTGGAACACAGAAGGCTGCAGGCAGGGTCCCAAGCACCTCCCGAGGGACCCTCGTACCCACAGGGCACCGCCAGGCTGGCTGACTTCCCCTGGAGAGCAGCAGCGCTGCCCGTCCCCCCTTCCCACCCAGGTTCAAGCCCACAGCACTCGCAGCTCACGCTGCCGTCCCCCCTTCCCACCCAGGTTCAAGTCCACGCTACAGCACACAGCACTGACAGCTCACGTGCAGCCCATCAGGCCTGCAGCTTCTTGGGAGGAGTCGGGCTCCCTTTTCGAAGATACCAGTCTGTGAAGAACTTGTTCTGTCTCATCAGAGAGCTCAGAATCCCAGCCTTTGAAGAGGGGAACTGGGGTGGGAGGATGACAGAGGACAACTGAAGAGAAAGCCCTCGTCTGGTGACCTGGCATCAGGTGCCCAGCTGCTAGGAAGGACATGGAGATTGACATGTGATCGGGAGATTCAAGAGAGCTGGGGCTGTCGAGTCGTGAGTGCGAATAAAGACTCAGGCCGGTAGGTGGGAATTGATGGGGCCTTCCCTGTTCCTACAGCCAGAGCTGCTTAATGCCGCCAGCAAACGGTTCTTTTCCACCTGGGGACACAGACAGGGAGAAGCCAACCCAAGACAGATCTGGAACACACAACAGCTGTCCCTCCAGGCCACCACGTGACCAAACCCTGGCTTCCACCAGGAAACCACCAGCCAACTGTCTGCTCAGCCCCCTGCTAGCTCCACTTCACGAGGTGATGCCCCTGCCCCGCGCTGAGACAGGGGAGCTGTCCCAGGTCCCAAAGGCAGCTCCTGGGTGGCCCTGTCTCCAGAACTGCGGCAGGCCTGAAAACGCACATGTATCCACTCCGCTGAGAATGCTGGCCGATCCAAGACTAAAAGGCCCATTAGGAAACACGGGGAGGAAGGGGCTGTGCAGAGTGGGAACAAACGTCACGGTTGTTGCAGACCACCTGGGGGTGACCCGCGTAAACTGCCCCCACTCGCCTTCTCTTTACCCACTGTCACCTCCAGTCTTAGAAAAGCCACCCAGGAAATGAGGAATATCCAAACAGCAGCAAAACGTGATTTAAACTCCCCCGTTGTTGTCCCCACGGGCACAGAGCCTGCCCCTGCCCCCCTCCACCTGAAAGCCTCCCTCTCCTGCCTCTTGCATGCCTGGCAGTGCGGCAGGAGCAGAGCAGTGCAGCCCGGCTGCCCTCTTCCTCATGAACCTTCAATGGCTCCCATACCATGCAGGACACCCTTTAAACTCAGGAGCCTCTGCGATGCCTCCACCACCTTCCCTGGCTTTGCCACACCTACCCCAATCCCTACGCTGTAAACGCAGGCCCCTCTGCATCCCAAGCTTTGTTCAAATCTCAGCTAGAGTCACACCTACCTGCAGGTGGGGCCAAACCATCTCCAATTCTGCATGCCCACTGGGCTTGAGCCCAGCCCTGGGAAGGACCCCCACATCCGCCATGTCTGTGGGTCCCTTCTGTCCTTCACACCTCCCATGGCCTGCCCTGCCAGACGTCCCCAGGTATCTGTGTATCTCTCAGGCTGTGCAGACACTTGTCTTTGTAAAGCGTTGTCTCCAAGCACGTGCTTAGCACACAGTAAACGCCCTGGAAGTGTAGAATCGAGCTGACCAACATCCGAGGGAAAGCACACGGTCTTGCCTTCTCAGGCCTTAAGAACACAGTAAGTGGTCCCCACAGGACACAGATGCTGGGTTTTGAACTCAAGGTGCTCCTTCGGTACGAAGCACAACCCGCAGAGAGGGGCGAGCTAGGAACACTGTTAACGGGCCTGCAGTTGAAGGCCGCCTTTGGAAGCACTGCGTGGAGCCCTGCGTGGAGCCCTCAGTAGTATTCACGGGGGAGGCTGTGGTGGTGCTGGCATACTGCGGACCCCGTGGGCTGCCGGCCTGCCAGAACCTCAGAGAGACTGACGCTAACATTCTAGCAGGGGGTGGCGTGAGGGTGGCCGGGTCCCTGGGGGTCTGAGCAGGTCACCTTTCCCACTATTAGGCCTTCGAGGTGTCTCTCCGGATGCCTGGGATCAGAAGACCCGAGAGCACACGGAGCTCAGTCCTGCGGACGCAGAGCGGCTGCCGTGGGTGTGGGAGTCTGTACTTTAAAGAAGCTCCTGGGGCATCCTTATGCTCACTGACATCTGTAATCCTGACTGGCCACCCCAAAAATACAGTCAGCCTGGGGGAGACGGTCGGGTACACAGCCAGAAGGGGAGCAGCAGCCCCCTGAGGGTGCTTCCTCTCGACATCCGAGCACAGGGGTGAGGACCGAGCCCCTGGTCACTCCAAGGAAAGGAATCGCCAACTCGGGCTTGGTTTGTGGACCCAGGGAGTATGAAGGAGGTGCAGCGGCTGCTCCGACATGAGCACCCCAACCTCCCCGAGGGCACGGTGTGCAGCGAAGTAGCAGCAACAGCCAGAGGTGCTGCCCGTCCTTTCCCGAGTGACGCACCACCCCGTGTACGAGCAAGAGCGATCTTCCTTTACGGGCCAAAGTCCCACCACCCTCCTAACCTCTCCCCCTCCTCCTCCTAGCTTCCCAGTTCCTTTAGAGGAAAGAAAAAGCGGCCACGTTTTAGTTCTCACAGGCCCAAACCCAGTCCGTCTCCAGAGCAGCTCCAGTAGAAGTGCACTGAGCACATCATCACTGGAAGGAGAGGTCCACTTCTGACACCCGAGAGAGGAGTCCCGGCCGGGCGGCCCACCGACGACCCCACCGTGGGGTCCGTGCGAGGGGCCATGCATGTCGCCACAAACGCGGCACTGTGAGAGAAGGGTACAGGTGACGCATGCACACGAGGGGAGGCCTAGACCTCCAGGTGTCCAGCTTCGGCTGGATTTGAAAAGTGAGAATAGACTCTGCCTCGCTTTCGCTCTGAAGAATGTGGTAACCTCAGGTTCCCAGCCGAGGAGCGATGCGAAGGCTTCCCAAATGCTCCCGGGCTGAGCCAGACAGAGGGTGACCCCACCTCCCCACCTTCATGACGGACTAAGGTCACGATCACCGATCCTCTGCCAGAGACAAAGGCTTTCCAAGGTCCCTTTCACTGAGTTCTCTTTGAAAATAAAACTAGGACTTGAAAGGCAAGTGTGAGAGTCGAGGGTTGAACACTAGCAGCCTGGTGTGAACTGTTATATACGGAGGGAAGAGAACCGTTATTTGGGGGCGGGGGCTCATTCCTTCTTGGTGTGCTCCAGGACTCGGTAGGGAACCCCAGAGGCATTTCTGGAGCCGTGTTCCTCTTGCATGACTGGCAGTGTGGCAGGGGCGTAGATCTCAGAGATGTTGTCATTGTTCTCCAGGGCCCCGTAGGAGAAGGAAGCTTTGAGGTCAGGCTGGACTGTCATCCCCTTGTCGTGCATGTTTTGCATACCTGAAATAAATTCATTTTCCCCAAATCAGTATGGGGGCCCAAGGAGGCTGGGTCCTCCTCCCTCCCGCATAGGCTAATTATAGTGCTCGGGAGCTAACGGTGTGCATTGTCGATTTCCTCAACGCTGGAGGTTTAAAAGAGAACACCTATAAATATCCACTAGGAATCTTATGGTTGCTAAGCAACAAGGGGTGAAACTTCAGGAAATATGCACACAGACCGGCCACTCTAGAGGAACCATGCGCTGGCCCAGAATGAGGCGAGAAGGTCCATTTGGGCCCCGCTGTACTCTGAACCGTGGTAGATGCCAGTACTTCCCTGCTGAATTAAAGCAGGACCCAGAAAACATCAATCTGCTGTGGAGGGAAGAGGGTAACTTCTGCATGGAGGGTGCTGATGGTGACAGATGCATCATGATGCTTACAAGGAGGGTCTGACCTTCCATCAACCTTCCTGATCCCTGTGAGGGTAAGGTATGATTTTGCCTATTACTTCTGGGCAGACTGATGCTAGATTTCTATTTATATTTGAGAGTAAATACTTTTTTTTTTTTTTGAGAGGTTTTTGCTATAGGGTGCATGTGCTCATAAGAAAGACAGAGACAGAGAAACAGAAAGCAAAAAATCACCCCCCGTGGAGGATGTCCACGCTGCAGTCCATTCTCCTCCATTCTCTTCTTGGGATCTTGTGCACGCACGCACACGTGCCCAGCCTGAGTTTAGGCCACTGGGCCCGGGACTCAAACCGTGGTCGACTACATGGGAGTTCAGTGACGTAGCCGTTATGCCATCTGCTGGTCTCCTTTATTGTTAATTCCTTTAACTTTTTCCTACAATTCCCCAGCTGGAGGGACCTGGTTGCCTTTGTAGGGTATAGGTGAGTTTGAAATTCTTTTTTTTTTTTTTTTTTGAGAGGTTTTTGCTATAAGGCGCGTGCGCTCGCCAGACAGACAGAGAGAGACAGAGAGATAGAAAGCGAGAGAAATCACCCCCCAGGGGGGATGGTCACGCCGCAATCCCTTTTCCTCCATTCTCCTCTCGGGATCTTGGGCACGCACGCACACGCGCCCGGCGTGAGTTTAAGCCAGCGGGTCCAGGACTCAAACCATGGTCGACTATGTGGAAGTCCAGCGACATAGCCATTATGCTAACTGCTGGTTCCCGAAATTCTTAGATTACTAATTGGTTAAAGAAAATCACAAGTCTCCGCTCCTGAAAGAAACCAGCAAAAGAACACGAAGGCTTACCGTGCATCGTAGTCATAAAAACACTATGCGTGGGGGAGGACGCAGGCCCCACTGTCAATGCTCTTTTAATGTTTGTAGGCATGACTCTCCCAGGCCCCTAGGAAACAACTTGGAATAGGAAAAAGAATTTTCTCCTCAAACCCTTCCCCAAATCACCTAACCCAACCTCAGATGCCATAAGAAGTCTTTTCTAAGACCCTCTTATTTTTCCCCATGGTGTATGTATCCCTTCTTGAAATGAGTCAACAAATCCAAATTTGTCAGTCTGTAGGTGCATTCCTGGTGGTGTTTGGCTGGAGGACATTGACAAAATCCAAAAGTTAAACATCCTAGTGAGTTGACTCATTTCTCTGAGGAATGTGTACCCCCACACCTCCTCTGGCCCCCCCAAAAATCCAAACCACAGGTTCATAAACTGTGTCCTTCAAATGACCATCAGCCAAGTTGTGTAGTCTGGAGACCAGTGGCTTTTTCCAGACCGGGACTTCTTGAGGCCATTTGCAGAAGGGACAGGAGCAAAGCTCCGGTGCCAGATCCCAGCTCCGCCTCCCACTAGCTGGCTGGCCTTGGGCTAGTTACTTCACCTCCTTGACTCTCTGGGTTTTTTTAATCCAGAAAATGAGGAAAGTAGCTCATCTCCATCACTGGACCATTTTAGGATTAAGGGCAGGTATATAGAAGGTCACACAGCACTCCAGTTACAGTGTGGGCTTCAGGGTTCTAACTCCCTGAGTTTGTGACCCTGCAGACTGCTTTGCCCAGTGCCTGGAACAGAGCGGGCGGTCAGATGCCCGCTGATATATCAACAAGCTTAATGAAGGGTGCTTACAGTCAGTTTCTTATGACTCAGCCTAAGGGCAGGGAATAGTCTTAATTCTCTCCAAGAAAAGAGTTGGCCTACAAGCCTCTGCTTCCAGATGGCCCACCTTTTGGGGCTGGACCAACGTAGAAGACTCCTTATGCTGATTGTCAACTTCCCTGTCCTCAAAACTTTATGAAAGGAATCACTGAATCTCAGCACCCCAAGAACACACTTGTCTTTCTCAGGGTCTGTCACTCATATTTCTGCTTAGAAATAAACTGCATTAATTACTATTTCTACAGAGTTGGTTCATTCCAACGACCAGTTAAAGGAGATGAGGCTTTACTTTGGATTATATGCTGTTAGGAAGCAGGGATAATTCTATAACTGGGGGACCTTAATCATTCTCATTCAGGAGAAAAGACAAGATTAAGACTGAAGCTGAGACAGAAGGCAGCTAGTCTCTCGCTAGCTGGGACGGGGGATGGTGGGTGCGTGTTTGTGGCTGGACGATGTTCAAGTTTGGTCTGTGTTCAGGCAGGAGACTACAGCAGTGCTGTTTGCGTTGTGACCCATCACGGTTGCGGGGTGGCCTTATCTGCTGCAGACAATATGTGCAATTGTTTATGTTCTTGATGGCCAGTCGTGTGTGTCAGGCCAGGGGTTGCTTTGATCTTTCCCATTTTTAAAATGTCTTTCAGGTGGGAGCCAGTAGGTGGGGTTGTGGTTAAGGCACTGGACTCTCACATGGCTGACTATGGTTCAAGTCCTAGACCCAGTTGCTTGAAAAATCATGCCAGGTGCATGTGCATGCATTCCTAAAATCCCAAGAGGAGAATGGAAAAGAAGGGATTGTAGCATGGCCATCCCCTCTGGTCTCTGGTGGGGGTTATTTCTCACCTTCTCTCTCTCTGCCTCTCTGTGTCTCTCTCTGGCAAGTACATGAGCCCTATGGCAAAAAAAAAAAAAAAAAAAAAAGTTTTCCAGGTATTTCAATTACTTAAAGCCTCTCCAAATTGTGACATGCAGTGAATTTGGGAACCTTAAGTACGTCTTGAATAGTAGCTCCTGGTCTGTTGTGAAGGTACCAATCTAGACAGACCAAAGGACAAGGTCCTGGCACTAACAGGGAAACAAAAGCAACTGTTTCAGCTTAGACCACCCAGTAGTCTTATCCTGCATGCTCTACCTGGCAATAGGTCAAACAGCTGTTCACGGTTTTCATAGTACTTATAAAGCAAAAAGGAAGTGAAACCAGGCATCTACCAGGCGCCTGACACTGTGCAAGAGGCTTTCACGCCTCTGTCCCACTATCCTGAAAGAAGGAATCCCAATGTACAAGTGATAACGGGAGGCCCTGGGAGGTCACAGAGCAGGTGGGTGATGGTAGACCTGGAATTGGAACCCAGGTCATCTGAACTGCAAGCACATGCTCTCCAAGTACAGAACACGTTTAATCAGCAGTGTCCTGAAGACCCACTGCAATGGGGCGGAGCCTTCTTTCTTCCATATCTGACTTCCCACTGGTCACAAGGCACAAATAAAAAGTCAAGAGCCACACCCACAGGGCCAGCAGGTGGCAGGGTGGTTAAGGCACTGGACTCCCATGTGGCCGACTGCAGTTCAAGCTGTGGACCTGGCGGTTTGCTTTCTCACTTTCCCTCGCTCGCTCGCTCTGTCTTTAGTGAGCACACATGTCCTATAGCAAATGAAAAATAACAACAATCATCATAGTAAATAAAATTAAATAAATAATTCTTTCAAAAGAAAAAAAGTCACACCCACAAACAGAGCACAGTGTTGATGTCTGATTACCTTCCGTATTCTACCAGAAAACACAGCAGCATACATGTATATACGAATATTCAGATAGGTATATACACACACGGTTTATAAACACACAAACGCAAACATACATACACATACTTGCACACGCAGAGTTGACACCTCACCTATCTGGAATTCAGCTATCCAGCGCCCTCATCTATCCGGAACACAGCCGAGAAACAAGGAAGTAAGCAAAAAAGGCATCTGAGCAGCCATTAGATGTCAAAGTCCACGCTGTAAAGCTCATGCACTCACTTGTAGGAGAAACCTTAGGTCCCCAGCTCGGAGCTCATTCATTTCCATAATTTGAACAAAGTGGGCCCAATGGGAAGACTGACACGGAGTTGGTATACTCAGGCAGGCTGGCAACAGCAAGAATGACAGACAGCAGGCAGACAGGAGAGATGAGGAGATGATCTACAAAGCAGACACTTAAACCCTGACATTGAATGTAAGAGCACCTGCATCAGCCCTGAGACCACGCCTGCACCCAGCTTCACCCCTGACGAAGCACTGCGTGTCGTGCTAAGCTATTTCGCTCTATCTGTCTTCCATTCATCAGCATGTGTTCCCCAAGGGCAGGAGTTAAGTTTCAGAGAGAATTCTTACAAACTGAAACAAAACTTAATACTGAGTTAAACTGCAAAAGCTAGTGGTCCCTGAAAACCTACAGAATGCGGTTGGCAAACCTGGCAGGAGCTGTTGCAATGTCGTGACTTCCTGAGTCCCTTCAGGCTGGAGGACACTCTCCAGTTCTCCACAGGCCCCACTACGCCCCACTGTGGGCCTATGAGGAGATGTCTGAAAGTTCATGGAAAACAGAATTAAAGCACGAGTTTATTCTGGTGCAAAAACTGTTCATGGGTCAGCAGTGCTGTCACAGTTAAGGTGCTAGACTTCCACTGGCTGACTGCGGTTCAAGTCCTGGACCTGAAGGCTTGAAAAATCACACTGGGGTGTGTGTGTGCGTGCCCCAAATCCCAGGAGGTGAGTGGAAAGACTGGGCTGCAGCGTGGCCATCCCCCCTTGGGGGTGATTTCTTACTGTCCCTCTCATTTTCTCTGCCTGTCTCTTTCCGGTGAGTACATGTGCCCTGTGACAAAAAGACTTCACACGTTTTTTTTGAAATCCATGCATCTGAGTAGCCGTATTATTCTCTCTTCATAATGTGGACTTCCTGGAACTTCTCGTAGGCCCCACATATTTGGCTGATTCACATGTTTATGTTATTGTCAGGATTTAAAGGCATTTGAGCTAGGGCTTCTCGTATGAACCGTTAGCTCACTGAGCAATTAGGCTTTCCGGAATATTCCACTCCCTTGCTGAATCCCTGAGTGAGGTTAGAGTATTTGAATTTCATTCATCCTACTTTCCTTTCCCTCCTGACCATTCCATCCCAGGGAGGTGAATGGGTTATCCCACTCGCAGGCATGAAGCCTCGTGCTGTGGGTCTCAATTACACCCAGCAGGAGTCAGCACTTGTTTGAAAAGATCCCGAAGCAGACACGGGAATTGGCAAGGCACGCTCAAGACCAACTGAGGTGCCGCAGCCACGGCCTCTTCTTTTGCACAAGATTAAAAACTGAAAAAGACAGGGACTGGCAGGTGGCATGGTGGTTAAGGGTGCTGGACTCCCACATGACCAACGGCAGTTCGAGTCCGGGACCCGGCAGCTTGCTCTCTCACTTTCTCTCTCTCTTCCCCCACCCCCCTCTGTTCCTCTCTGGTCAAATTAAATGAATGAAGTTAAATAAAATAATTCTTTAAAACAATGGAAAAGACGGTGAGAGCACAGCCACATCACAGCACAGCACACGTCTGCTGTCCCCAGCCCAGTGGCTGGCTGCACACAGGGGGTGAACGTTACCTGGCATGGCGCCCATGGAAATGTAGGGTTCAAATGGAGTGGCCTTCTTCCTGTTACGTGTGATCAAGAAGACACCCAAGAATGCGATGAGGCACCTGAAGAGTAGAAACAGGAGAGGGAGAAGGAATTAGGCCAGGAGTGAGGTGGGAAGGACATGCTGAATGTCCAAGTGATGAGTGGTCAGCAGGTGGCGTGGTGGGTATTGTGCTGGACTCCCACATGGACAACCACGGTTCAAGTCCCGGACCTTATGGCTTGAAAATCACTCTGGGTGCATTTGCGTGTGTGCCCTAAATCCCGAGAGGAGAATGGAGGAGACGGGATTGTGCCGTGGCTATCACGCTGGGGCATGATTTCTCACTTTCCTTCTCTCTCTCTCTCCCCAGCAAGCGCACACACACACACACTGTGGCAAAAAAAAAAAAAGGCCTTCAGGCAGGGACGGGTGCCCTTTAGAGCAGCGCAGCTGAGCCGCCCCAGGCCAGGGCTCCCGTAGGCGGCAATCAGAGGAAAAGCACGTTAGACTCGCCCAGTCCAAATCTCACGGGCCCTCACTCAGCCAGAATTCTCAGCACCTTGCCTTTGAAGATGTTTTCCCATTAATTCAAAAACTCTTCTTTAAGACGTTTTTTCCTTTTATTTGATGTGCCCCTGGCATGAAACAGCTCTGGCCACCAGCAGGCAGCAAGCTAGGATGAACGAGGACAGCCTGGCTGCTCTGCCCCTGACTGACGGAAGAGGAACCCACCACCGTCACCACTGCCTGGGGCAACTACACAATCCCTACCAAAGTACGGCAAGTGAGAATGGCCAAGTCTGATACTCCCGTCCCCTAGGAAGGGGATCACAAAAATACTCTCCTGGAGCTTTTTTCCCTTTTCCCTATAGCTTTTATAAGTAAGCACACATTTTTCTGTCTTCTTTTCTTTCTTTTTTAAGGTTTTTCCTATAGGGCACATATGCTCCTGGAGAGAGGCAGAGAGATAGTAAGAGTGAAAGTGAGAATCATACCCCAGGGGGATGGCCGCACGGCAATCTCTCCTCCATTCCCCCCTGGGACTCTGAGCATGCAAGCACACATGCCCAGAATGATTCCCCAAGCTGCTAGGTTTGGGGCTCAAACTCAGCCATGTAGGAGCTCAACACCTTATCCACCCCACTACCTGCTAGTCCCAGCAAACACACTTTCTAAAAAGTATATAATTTACATACAGTAAAATGCACAAACCTAAAATACAGCTAGACGAATTTTATGTGGGTAACCACCACCCAGGTGAGGACGGAAAACATTTTCATTACCCCAGAAAGTGTCCAGTCCTCTCTCTAATTTGTGCCAACCCTCCCCCTGAGGGAAGCACTATTCTGACTCTTCTCACCACAGACTAGGTCTGCCTGTTCTTGAAATCTTGGAAATTAAACCATACAGGTGCCGACAGGCAGCATAGTGGTTAAGGACGCTGGACTCCCACATAGCTGGCTGCGGTTCGAGTCTCGGACCTGGGGCCTTGCTTTCTCACTTTCCCTCTCTCTCTCATTCTGTCCCTCTCTGGTCAAATTAAAAAAAAAAATAGAATAAGCAAAATAATACTTTAAAAAAAACCCAGTAACTTTAAGGAAATTAAATAATGTAGTGTACACTTGTTTGTGTCTGGTTTCTTCCACTTGGTAAAGTGTTTTTAAGGTTCAAATACCTTATTACGTGAATCAGTTGTCCACTATTTTAAATTTTGGTGTGAAATCCATCATCTGAATCTACTATAATTTTCCCATTTTTTTTTCTGTTGATAGACATTTGGGTGGTTTCTGATTTGGTCCTAATATGAACAGTTACTCACGTATAAATCATTTCGTCAATACGTGTGCTCATTTCTCTCTCTCTTTTGCTTTCTTTTCCATCTGGAAGTCAAACTGTACTCCTTCCTTTTGGGTAAAAATCTGTAAGTGGGGAGCCAGCTGTTGGCGTGGTTAAGACGGCCATCCCACTTGGCTGACATAGTGGTCTGAGTCCCGAATCCAGCAGCTTGAAAAACACACCTGGCACATGTGGGTGTGTGACTAAAGTCCTGAAAGAATGGAGGAGGAGGGATTGTGGCGTGGACATGACCCTGGGGCAGGAGAGCTTTCTCACTTCCCCACTCTCTATCTCCGTCTCTCCAACAAGGGTACGCACCCTATAACGGATGAAAAAAAGAAAAACAGACCTGTCAGTGGAGATGCTG